CAGTAATATGATTAAGTTGTTTATATGAGTTGTCTTTCATGTTACAATATGCGGCCAGTGGTGTAGCGGACGGGGCCCCGCGTCGTCACCATTTTTAATAATTGAAAATCCGGCAACCGCAATAATCAAACTCTTGGGAACAACTGTGGTCGGAACCAAAGTTCACAGGTCTGTGTTCTCTGAACACCTCTCAAGCGGTGGACTACTTCATTCTGATTGCTTGCCGCCAATGTTGCCAACTTAGCCACTTTGTCACTAGATTTAGCGACTTTTCAGACCCCCTTAGCGACAAATCTAGCGACTTTTTTGTGTGTTATTGGAGATTTTTTTAGACTGTCATTTGTCCATACTGTACCGTCCCTACTCTTCTCAACGAGCTGCGTGTGATGCCGCCGGCCCCTCCCCCGCCTTACAGAACTGACAGGCGGCCCAGTCAGTCAGTCTTCGTACAGCAGCCTCTCCCACCTGCAGCCCGAGAGCAGATCCCCCATCTGCGTACCGACGGCAAATGATTTAGCACAGGCAGTGTGAAGGTATTTCCCTTGTACAGTCTAACCGAACTACTTCTACTTTATTTCAACAATTTAATTGGACCGTTTATTCTTTTCTTGTTCACAATCACGGATATTTTTGAAGTTTCTGAACTTCTCTTTTATTATTTATTACATATGAGACATTACTGCACATTCACTACACATCTATAATGACATACTGTATTCAAACAGCAATAAATTTAGTTAAATAAACATGCTTATATAAAGTGTAGTGCAATTATAAATACCCCTTTAGTAACCATAGGCTGTTAAACAAACAGAAACGGTAGAACGTGATGACGTCAGTGATATGCAAATTGACGTATGACGTATCCCCCCCTCCCCTACTTCATCAGGGGGCCCCGTCAGCGATCCCTGCAGGGGGGCCTCCGCATTTTGCACTACGCCACTGAATGCGGCAAAAAGAAAAGACAGTAAAATCAAAATCAATCATGTAATTCATCACCTCTTGAACATAACAGACATTGCAGTGCATATAGCGGTATATATTATCTTGTATCATGCCACATTTGCTGCAAGTATAGATATGCAAAGGTAAATTTGTGTATGTGTATGAGCTTTTTAAGAGCATTTGTGCATGACTCATTGCAGAAGGCTTGAATAAACTCCTCCACAAATACATCACACAAACTCACTTGGTATATCGACTCATAAACTTAATCTGTTTCTCTGTGTCTCTGTCACTGAATGCTTTTTTTTTTCAGTGTCTCTGTCACTGAATGCTTTTGCAGGAGAAGAAGACTCCTGAAGAAGAAGTTTGTCTCTGACAACCAAATTAGTTTGAAACTGAGCAGTGGGAGCCAAGTCTGAAGTCTAAACCCTCGCCTATTATCACTGTAAACAAAATTGATCTGACTGAGTTCAAACCCACCGCACTGATTCCGTAATTCCCATTACCTGATTTCTTGGGATATTTCAATTGCTTTCACAGATTTGCAAGTCTCTTTGTAAGCTTGGCTCATCTTGGGTTTTTGTTTGTTTTCAAGAGTTCACACTTAGCTGATGATTAATTGTAAAAGCTAGTTTGGCATGCTGTCCCGGGAGAGAGCCCTGAGCTCATGAGATCCTCGAGCCCAGGGCTCCCTCCCGTTGCAAGGCGGGAGGGGAGTTTGAGCTCAGGTAGATCTCGAGAACTCCCCTGCTGTAGCAAGTGAATGCTCTTGAAATTAATTACTAACTAGAAGCGTGTCTATGTTGCCAATTTGGATTGTTCAATTGACTTAATTGCATATTTTTTAGGTGGTGGGAGGAAACCGGGGAACCCGGGAGAAACCCATGTGAGCACGGGGAGAAGTGCAAACTCCACACAGAAATGTCTGCTAGTTTGGTAAAGCCAGCAACCAGAGACATTCTTGCTGTGAGGCGACAGTGCTAGGCACTGGGCCACTGTGTCTAAGAAGGAGGAGTAGGGGAGGAAGGGGGGATTCTTCAAAACGAAGATAGCAGTGGAATGAACCCCAGGGTATTTATAGTAGTTTAGGAGTCATCTGATTGGATAATGCGGATCCGTAGTTAATTAGATAATGCGGATCCAGCCGCTAGCAATCATAAGCACGTGATCTTCTCGAAATTTGTTTATACATAAACTTCACAAAAGGGAGACATGTTATGTGCAAAATACTGTCATGTGTTCTTATTAAAATATAGGATTTACATATATTTATCAGGGGTTACCACAGCAGAATAAACAGCCAGCTATTTTATCATATGTTTCACGCAGCGGATGGCTTTCCAGCTGCAACCCAGTACTGGGAAACACCCACACACTCTAACATGCACACTCATGTTACTTACTGAGCCACTGTGTCGCCCCTTTGGTCGCATTTTCTTGCTCTGATTCCTGATTTTCTTGTACCAAATATATATAAACTCTGGGTACCTGGTACCATGTCCGTGACGTCAATCAAGGTCCGTACTGGCCCAATACCCCCCATGAGTGGTTCCGTTCTCTCATCAGTTGAAATAGAATAACTTTTGCATAGATTAGGATAGAGACAGCTAATGACAGCAACCTAGACCACACAGAATCTAAAAGGTACACCTTCGAATTTGAGTTTACCAAAAAAAAAAAGCGCCCCGTTTTTCATAATATACAATTATTGTTATCACTTTTCAGTTTTTTATTAAAATTCAAAGGGTTTTCTTTAAAATTATACCAAATATTTGCATTTACACATCTGCATGTGGATTTGGGAAGCTTTTGAAATTGGATGGGCAAAATCCAGGTGGAAACCCCAAAATAGCACTTGACTTAAAGAGGTTAACATGTTTTGAGACTTCACACTATAATTTAAAATTACTGAACTTCTTGTAGGACAAACAGTAAGAGACAAACAACAAAAAATAACCTAAAAAAACCCCCCAAAAAAACAGGAACTACAAATGGTTGTTTGTGTTGGAAATGTCCAAGTCTCTGAAGAATTTAATAATGTAATAATAATCACAACAATAATAACTCTATGATAAAAAAAAAACAGAACAAATCTGTGCCATGTTTAGCATGTATGGATACTATGGAGCAGAGTGCTCAACCCTGTTCCTGGAGAGCTACCTTCCAACGGAGTTCAGCTCCAACCCTGATCAAACACACCTGATTCAATTAATTAGACCTGAACAGCACTTGATAATTACATGCAGGTGTGTTTGATATTGGTTGCAACTGAAATCTGCAGGAATCTCCAGGAACAGGGTTGAGCACCCCTGATCTACAGCATATGTGTTCAGTTTTGCTCCAGGAGTGACACTTTCCCGAATAGTTAAGCTCCTAACTTACCTCAATTAAGCACACCTGAATCAGCTCATCAAGCAGGCAGACTAGAAAATTCCAGATAGGTCTATTAAGGCGAGTTGGAGTAAATCTCTGATGGACATTATCCTTCCAGGACTGATTTTGCAAGCCACTTTACATTTTAAATTGATTACATTTATTTATGTTATGTTTTGTTTAATTAGAACAGAAAGTGGAATGGAGAACTAACTTCTTTTAGGGTAAAAGGAGAGCAGAACCGCTGTGTCTATCAGGTAAGACACACTTTCTACCTAGAAAGCCAAGCTTCCATGTTTATTTTTTCATTTAGGATCCTTGCTAAATGAAAAAAAAAGTGGTTATAAAAATCTAAAGTAGTGACATGACTCTGTCTTCAGTGAGGTAAAATGATAACATTATGATAGCTTCATTGGTTCGTTTGAAATGTCCAAAGTTTAAAGGGCCATGACACCCCCCACTTTCGGTTAAAGTCTACTTCAGAATTTTTTCAAAAGATGCATGATTAATGGGCGTGGAGCTCCACGAGCATCGGGCAGGAGTGGGCGTGGCCAGCAGGGGAGAAGGGGAGCGAACAACTGTTGTTGTCAGTCGGCTCACAAAATGAGACACAAACCGTGAGGAGACGCATGAGTTTATAGTTTACAACGTTAAAATGCAAAGAAATAAACAGTGATTTAATGCCCTGCTACATTTGTTATTTGCAATTTCATATACACATAACCACAATTTATATCATTATAAAGATAAGTGTGTTCATGTAAACACTATAAATGAGGATTCTCCCTCGATCCCCGGGTCTATTATAGATCTGAATGGAGACTCAGTGCAGCAGGTCTCCTAACCTGCCTATTTTAACCGTTAGCCCTGCTGGTAATATAGAGGATTTAGGCAAACACAGCAGCAGGGCGATGTGTCTGAATGTGAACGAACTCCTGCTAAAAGACAGCGTCCGCCATTCTCTAATTCTCGTGCTGCTCTCCCGACAAAAATGCTAGCAGCACACACACAGCTTTGCTGTATGATCGGCCCTGACAGGATCGCGGGGAAAAAACATGCAACAAACCCCGTGGATCATGGAAACAAACACATACGAGCCTTCATGAACGGCTACTGCGTCCCGTTGGTCTGTGCTTGCTTAAAACTGGCAGGTCTGTCTTGCCTTTGGAATGCACGTGCTCTCATGAATAATTAAGCAGCCGGCTTTTCTCATAGGATAAGAAAACTCCGCTTTGAATAATAATGAGAAACCGACGCGTCATCATTGCACTTGCAGTTCTGCGCTACGTCGCCGATTTTGATCCGCCCCAAAAATCATTTTAAACCCAAAAGCTGAAATTAGCTGACAAAAGCTCTAAATTATCCAGTTTCCCCCACAATTAAAGCTGACAGATGCTAACATTGTCTTAACTGATGCTCAACACACACACATCTGTTAATATAAAAAAAAAAAAAAGTTCTCCAGGGTGTCCTGAACCTTTAAATAGTATTAACGATTTTTTAAAAGACAACGCAAGGTTGTGTTGCCTGAACAACTTCATTTGTTTGGAAACAGATGAAACTGCATTGAAGTGGACTTTAGTAATTAGTAGACAAAATCTGAATACTGTAAATTAGTACTACTGCAAATGCTTTAAGAAAAAAAGATTAAACGTTTGTTGCTTAAATTGTTGACGGACTCAGTAAGACTTTCTGTAATTTGCTAACCAAAAGGCTAGCTGGAAAATTTTGTACACCACTAAAACATCCATATAAAACACAACAAAAGCACATAAACAGAAAAACAGATTTCGTTCTGCAGAGACTGAAGTGTCCAATTGTGGAGAAATTGTGTGTTTTAGTCATTAGATTACAAATTAAAAACGACTATTTAAGTAAAATAAAATTCTCAAATATATTATTTTCACACATACGTCTCATCTAGCAGATATAAAGGGATCGTGTTGACAAATATTAAAAGTGATTCAAAACCTTTGATTATCTTTTTTTGTTGGATCACAAAACAAAAATGATAATAATATTAATATTTTGAAGAATGTTGAAAAGCAGTAACAACTCCTGTATAAGAAAATTACTATGGGAGTAAACAGCTTTCACCATTCTTCAAAATGTCTTCTTGTGTATTCAGAACAGACTCAGACAAATCTGCAGTAAACAAAAAGGTAGCACAACATCTTTTGTCCCCCACATTTTTGTCTGGTATTAAAAGTCTTTTTTTTTTAATTATCCAAACATTCTCTTCATCTTAGATGTCAGAGAGTAGACAGGACAGTTAAGATTTCAACATGTTATTACAGTTTATTATTAGCAATCAGATCGAGTTCATGTGAGCACATGTGTGTGTTTTCAGCACTCAGGGATGAGTTTCTGCAGGGTGTTTTTCAGCCGGTCTCGAGCGCTGCTGCACACCTCCAGTGATTTATTCGGCCTGCGCAGTAAACAAACAGCAAACTGTGAAACTAAATGAATGTTTATTATTTGAAATCAAAAGCTTGTCGAATACTGAATAAAATAATGCATTGAATAACAAGCGCCTGCATTTTTTAATGACTTAATTTGTCAGGGTTTGTCTTTTTAGGACCTGAAATTTAACGTAGCTGTTATTAATTTAAGCTGTGAATATTTTAACTAAAACATTTCACACACATTTTCATGCCTAAATTCTATCTGCTTGTTAAGTGTGACGTCTCGCGAAGCGGCTTCCGGGTCCAAGCGCTCTATTCAGCTGAATGAAGAGACTCATGAAATGGTAATAATAAACGTTTACAAAGCGATTTAAGGCTTTCGAAAATCACGATCGCAATATATGGGCCCTATCATACACCCGGCAAAGTGATTTGGTAGTTTCAGCTTGGCGCAAGAGTGGTTTTGAGGCGTTGCGCTACGCTGTTTAAATAGCAAATGCATTAGTGCTCATTTGTGCGCCCATAGGCGTTCTGGTCTAAAAAGGAAGGCGTTCTGAGGCGGACCACTGGCGCGTTGCTATTTTGAGAAACTAAAATAGATTTTTCATTAGACCAAAACTAACCCGGTCTAAACTCCGGCGCAGAGTTGCACCTCGCTTACACACTGCTTAATACACACAAGAGAGCAATAGGCAAATATCTTTACATATGAAAAAATGTAAATATTAAGCATATATATAAAAGATATAATAAGAATAGATATAGGATATAAATATAAAGAATTAAAATATTACAAAACATTATTTTCTAGCCTACATAAATATGAAAAATCACTGCTTTTATGTCTTCTTCATCTCGGGAGGCTTTTTCAGTTCATTCATAACAATTTGCTTTTGTATAATGTTATTATTAGCAGTATCATTTATTATATCCATATTTATATTTGTTTTATTAAAAACAAGCTTAGATTTGTCCACCTGTCAGGTTTTAGACCATATGGGGCACAGCATGTGTTTTAGGATATAACTCAGTATTTTGACCACACTTTGTTATTATTGTTCATTTATTCGTTTGCAGGAAATTAGAATTGAATTTAGAAATAGTTTTGAAACGAATATTTGTGCTTAACAAACAAAATTAATTATTTATAGGCTAATTGATGTCTGTGCGTAAAGGTTTCCCTATCCAAGAGCGAAAGTGAAAGTAGATCCATTATCTCTCATTCTCACGCAGTAGATGCTCTGTTTAACAGTTTTCTGTTAAAAAACTGTTAACTGTCAACTGTTTGCTTGTGAAATGCTCATTTTTTCCACTTAGACTTACTTTGCGTCCTGTAAATAGCGAATGCGCTCTTGGCGTGACGCAGCTGGCTCTTAAAAGGAAAGTGAGATGAGACTCTAATTGGTTTATTCTTAAAACACACCTATAACTCATTAAGAAAATAAACTCAACCCTTTTAGAACATGTGCCGAAACGCAGGGCAGATTTCCCGTCCTTAAATTAGCAAAAACGCGTCCTGACACGCCCTGAAAGCGTTTGCACCCTGCGTTTTGCGCTTTGCGCATGGACCGTCAAAATAGAGCCCTATATGTCCATGCCTAATATCCGATGGCCAGAAAGTGATTCATTTTATTATAAATTGTTAAAAGTTTGGTATTTGTTATGCAGCAAGCCCAGAGATTGTTGTGTCACTATGACTTTATATAAAATGAACTTTAATGTGTGATATGAATTAAAAGAGATCATAAACGAATGATTTCTCAACTCAAATGAGTGGCGGCTTGGACCCGGAAACAGTATTACATACGTCACAAACATGTCACCACTTAACAAGCGGATACTAAATATTTCACCTTCCAGGATTCACTTCCAAAATATTCAGTTATGCTTAAAAATATATGATGTATATCATTAAAAAGGTGATATTCAGTTCATTTTATTTAAGTTCATAAATTCAACATTACATCCGGGAACTGCATTTAATGCTGATTCATGCATTATATTTTGAGTATTGCTATTGGACAAGCTTCTGATTTCGAACACTTTATGCATAATTTTTCTTCCATATAAACAGAAAGCACACAGATCACTCACACCATCAGCTGATATCAGGAATATGTTCATGCGCATGAGTGATTTTGAGTTACCTGCTCATGAAAGCGTTGAGGACGGTGATGTGTTCTCTGGGGAAATAACTCTGTTTTACTGCGTGCTCCAAACACAGTAGATGACCTGGAACAACCTTCACCGGCTTCAGCTTATCTTCACTCTACAGATAAAGATGACAAAATGCATATTTAATATCTCCAGATCCTGTTTCCACTTAATTTAATCTCTTATGAAAACGGTTAAGATTTTTGCATTATGAATAATAATTAGCTGTCTCCATGCTGAACTGTATTATTGCATAAAATGTTGTGAATAATGCAGTGTTTCCAAACAACATGAAACTAGAGGGAACTAAATCATCACTTCCTGATAAACTGGAGCAGATATCAGTCTGAGAAATGGAGTTTGGTGCAGTGGTGAGATATATCCAGCTGCAGGACCGCAGAACCTCACACGTTTTAGGCACAGACAATCTAGGACAAACAATCTAGGCAAACCTCATATAGTTACCAACTCTTTAGCATTATCGCCACCTATTGAATTTCACAAATATGGTTTCTGATTTCAGTCATTATTATTATTATTATATCGTAACGATCGTTTTAACATCTCTGCAGTTTCTGAACTTAAATAATGTAAATAAAAATATTTGGTTAAAGACACTTATGACTTTATTCATGTGTCCACATACACAAAGAAAACATTATAGACCGTCTAATTGTTGGATTAAGTGTAATAAACTAATTCAAGCTCTTAATATTATCATACTTGGTTAAAATCACTTTGTTGTAAAATATAAAAAGCAAACAATAATAAGTCATTTTAAAATAAATTAGCCTACTATAGTTAATCATTTAAACAATATATATATATATATAGTTATAAACTGATTATCTTAACTGATTATAATTATTATAAGTTTATATATAAACTGCTATCTTTGACTAAACTGTCACTGTTAAAGCTGTTTATATATATATATATATATATATATATATATATATATATATATATATATATATATATATATATATGTATATGTATATATATATGTATATAAATGTATGTGTGTGTGTGTGTGTGGGTGTTATTGTGGGTATTAAATGTGCGAAATCATTAATTAAAAGGTCATTAGAAAATTAAGCTAATAAACACTATTAAATCGCTTGAGTAATATATTAATATAGTGTTATACATTTGTTACATGTAAAAAGATTTTTATTACATATAATGTATTATTGCCTATATTAACTTGCTATTATTTCCTTCATCATAAATTAATCCATTATATAAATTAAACCTGTCCAAATGAGATCATCCAGCAAGGCCAGCAAACGAGTATCTGCTATATTATTGTCAGATAATAATGACTGATCAGCTATAATGACTGATTAAAAACTGTTCAGTCTATTATATTGGTCCCCAAACCCCGGGCCGGTACCGGTCTGTGGATCAATCAGTACCGGGCCGCACAAGAATTAATTATCTTTAAGTTGGCAGATGAAGTAGCTGCATTTAAAGCCAAACGGAGGCATATTGGACATGTTTCAAACATTAGCGGGGATTTTGTGTGACACTGAGCCTGCGCCCTCACTCACCAAGCTGGTGCACGATCACCAGTCTTCGCTGTTAAAGGAGTTTGAGCGCTACTTCCCAACCTCAAAGGACCCACAAACGGCTTGGGATTGGTTTTGTGACCCATTTATCAACAAACCAGCTGAGTCCGTGCAAGAAGAAGACCAACTGTTGGAGATCGTAAATGACGGCGGCCTTAAAACAGTGTTCGAGACAACTCTGCCGGTGTTCTGGATTAAAGTAATGGCAGAATACCCAGAGATCGCTAACCCAGCGCTAAAAACCCTGTTGCCATGTCGAGATGTACATGATATGTGTGTTCTGATGCTCACGGGCTGCTTCACAGGCACACGCAAAGCTTGAAGGTAATCAAAAAATGGATTATTATAAGCATCTTATCGATAATTATTTACACAGCTGGCATTAAGATGAACATATAAACGTTATCTAAGTAACATCTAGCAGCTGAATGTGTCTGGAAAAATATTCAAAGGCTTTTATTCTCATAAACCGCGCGGACGTGAATGCGTCTGACTGTTCTGATAGGCTAAAGCAGACGTCTCACGTCAGCACGTTCTAGACGTGCACGCGCT